CAGCATGAATCACTTCTGACAAGTTTTCCTGACACCAAGAGAAAAATAGTGACAAAGGAGGGAGCTCTAGCATACATCCTGTGATTGACAGCCTCAGTTCTGTTCGTTTGTGTGTCCCTTCCCCTCCCCTTCAATCAGCCTTCAGAGCTCTCCTCTCTGAACTCCGCAGTGTCCACCTCCCTTTTTTCTGAACTCTCAGATAGGCTTTATAAACTCTGGACTTTGGTTGTAGAGAAGGCGGCAGATAAACAGGTACAACTTATGTAGGAGGATTTGATTCATTTCTGTGTATCACCTGAGGTCAGTCACTTCACTGGGTATATGGAAGGGTTTAAGAGAAGAATGGGGTTCGAAAAAAAAAAAAAAAAAATATAGACCTGCATATGCACCTAGATGGATGCAGCATCGAACACCCGCCACTTTTAAGACTCTGAACTGAGTAATCAAAGACCGCTGATCGCTTGGTTCTCAGTGAGTAGAAAGTGATGTCAGTCACCAGCACTCTGCTCCCCCCGGAGTGCCAGACCGTGGAGTTGGCGGGAGTGGCTGGCTTAGGCTCTCAGTGGCTCACTGAGAGGCTGAGCCAGGTGCCATTCAGGCATCTAGGTGGATCCCGACATTAAAGTCTTTTTTGTTTTTTTTACAAAAAAAAAGGTGACCCCCCCCCTCCTTTCCCCAGGGTTCAGCTGCACATAGCGGCTGTGATGCCCCTTGCTGCCGTTTGTAGCGGTCCATACCCTGAACACACAATACAACTCCCCAGAGTAAGTGTCCATCCTAATGCTCACAATGGCAAGTGTAAGCACGGCCACTAAACGGGCATCACGGCCACTAAACGGGCATCACGGCCACTAAACGGGCATCACGGCCACTAAACTGGCATCATGGCCACTAAACTGGCATCACGGCCACTATGTGCAGCAGGGGTGGCCAGGATGTTTGGCGTTTGGCTGGCCATACACCATACAATTTTCTGCCCAATTTCCTTTAGATTTACTTTCAACTATGTAGTGCAAGAGCTCCCTAATTGGATACAATTGAAAGTGTTGTTTTAGGTTTGACCTCCTATTATATGGTTTTTGGGTAATCTAAACCAAAAATCTCAAGCAAATTGTATAATGTATGGCCAGCCTTAGTTTACTTTTTCGTGACCCTTAAAGTAAAAGCTGGAACTGGGCTTTACGTTTCTCCTTAGAAAGCCTCGGACCTGCATGTCTAGTGCAGCCAGCATTGCGATCCCTATAGCTGTAGCTGAGGGTTTCCTGCCGGTCCTCTGGGATGGCTTCCATGACCGTATTGGGCAGGAAAACCTTTTCCTATGGAATTCCTTTTTTACGGGGGCGGGTGGATTCCTCAATAACAACTACTATATGTTCCTCAATGTACACACAAATTCATGGAGGTGACCTAACCTCCGAGAGATCCTTGTGAAATGCGATGAGTGAGAACAAGTCTACGTCAGGGGTTATAAAACTTGGGGGAGGACATTTTCACGATTCCCAGCTTTGTGTATCTCGACTCGTACGATTTCCCTCCTCCTCTCTGCGTGTCGTGTTTATAAGCAGCCCACTCGGCACTTTTAGGAATCTGGAAAGTTATTACCAGACAAATAGGCATTACCTCATCCTCCGATGAGCAAACCATGGCCTATGACACCTTTTTTTGTAGCTTTGCGTACCCAGACCTAGGCAGACTATTTGTCATTTTACTTGTTCCAGCAAAATGTAAGGGAAGCAGACTTTCAGGCATTCGGTGCGGTCTGGCAGAGTGCGGTCGATGAAGTTATACTGCTTACCGTTATCATGTAGAGATTAAAGGGCAACTCAAGGCAACTTATCGCCTGATGGCAAGAGTTGGCCAAGAGGCTGTGACCATTTCAGTGCCAACGTGACAGAGGTTCTAACCCATGTCTGGTATATCCAAAAACAAACACAAGCAGCTGACCGGAGTTGGACTTTAAAATAAAGATTTAAATATTCAAAATGGTGTAGCGCAACTGATCAGCAGTCCTTATTAATCTCTGAAGAGACCCAAAGAAAAATAAAGTCCATGAGATTCATGCATGTAACCACCGTGTGCACTGTGTTTAATATCTTCTCATAAATCATACACCGCTAATGCCATCCATGTCTTCTCAGTAATCTACTGAGGAAGTCCATGCAGTGGACGGAACACGTACGGGGTGGAGTCAGACCATGCATGAGATTCATGCATGTAACCACCAGCATGTGCACTGTGTTTAATATCTTCTCATAAATCATACACCACTAATGCCATGCATGTCTTCTCAGTAATCTACTGAGGAAGTCCGTGCAGTGGACAGAATATGTACGGGGTGGAGTCAGGCCATGCATGAGATTCATGCATGTAACCACCAGCATTTGCACTGTTTAATATCCTATCATAAATAAGACACCACTAGTGCCCTGCGTGCCTCCTCAGTAGTCTGAGGAAGTCCATGCAGTGGATGTAACGTGTACAGAGGTGTAGTCAGACCATG